TGTGCATGTATTATAATGTTTATCGTAAAAAAATTTAAAACATGATATAATAAGTGAACGTGCAAAAAAATAGAGTAAGAAAAGAAAAGGAATTGGAGGAAATAGAGCATTTGACAATATTAAATTTTGTGACAGGAATAATAACTAAGATTAGAAATAAAAATGAGCAAAAGACAAATGAGATATATAATATAACAACACAAAATTTTATATAAATTTTTATTCTTCAAAGAGAGAGAGAGAGAGAGAGAGAGAGAGAGTTATTAGATAAAAATTAACATAATTATCCAGTAACTGCTTGAAAACAGCAATTTCTACCAAGGAGATTTGATATATTTATCATGTTTCGGGCTTAAAGAATCTTGAGATATGGAAGGTTTCAGAAAGAATAATGAACAATAGAAATTGATATTGTGCAGAATAAATCAGTATGTCGATTATTCGAACAAAGCTCGCAACTGATATGGCGGAAACATTCGATTTAACGTATTACAAAATTGCACTTAGTCGAGCGAGCTGTCGCTACGAGGAAATCGATTCGTAATTTGCCAGATAATTAGCGGCCGTAGCAAAGCGCGACGGTTTCGAACGCGCCGGACGCATAGATGCAAGGTACAATTGAATGTATAAGCGCGTTAGAGAATCTATTTTTTCGCGAACGGCAGCTTAATAAAAGCGCATTATCGTAACGGTACGCATATAACGGTTGGAAATCGCCGGTTGTAAAGCAGCGGCAACAGCAGCAGCCGCCGCCGTCTCAACAACAACTGCGAGAATCCAGGAAGAGAATACACCAGTATGATACAAAACGATGTACCGAGAAGAGCGCCAATAATGTCGAAGAATGTTGCGCGTTCACCCGCGGGCGGAATTCTTAGCGTTCAAAGGCGAAGCTAGAAAATACTCGAAATTTACGATCTCCGAGCCGAGTACAGTGGTTAACATTTATTCATTTGTTTGTGTATTTATTCGCGGGAAACTATTGCCCTTTTGGTACTTTTAATGTTTCGTTTATTAAAATATTGTTTTAGTGATTTCATTGGTTTTACGTATCTTTCGTGACATAATAATTTTAATACATAAAACAGTATATTACTAAAATAATAAAATAATGATATTAGAATATAAAAATTACTAACACAATAAAATTACTGTTAGTATTACTAACATATTACTACTAAAATGATAATAATGGTATTAGAATATACAAATTACTGTGTGTATGTGTGTGTGTTAGTATTACTATTAGTATTATTAAAATTAATAATACTAATAGTAATTTTACTGTGTGTGTTAGTAATTTATATGTTATAATATATATTATAACCATTATTATCATGTGTGTTAGTAATTTATATGTTATAATATATATTATAACCATTATTATCATTTTAATAGTATACTGTTTCAGTAGTATATTTTTAGTATTTTTATATTTTTAAAACACACTATTTATGAAACAGTAATTTTAATAAACGAAGAATTATTCTTAAAAGACAGCATTAGTCACGCCTAATTTCGACGTATTTCGACGCTTTTCGACTAATTTTTTAACAGTTTGTTGACAAATACTACGACAGGAAATTATTTAAAGCGCACAGAAATAGAGAAACTTCTGCAACTTAGATATACTGTTTCTCCGCGGACTGATTCCGCTTACAATACGCTTGCAATCGAGATGGCTAGCTAGCCAGTTATCTAGCGAGCGAGTGAACGAGCAAGTGAACGAGCGAGCGAGCAAGGTGAGGTCATCGATCTCGACGTGGATAAGGCAGAAGATTATCGCGCGCGATCAAGATCGCGAAGATAGTTAATTACTCACGGGCGTGTCGATCGCGGAAACTAAACACGAGTGTAACGGGTGGCACACTTTTAACGATAAAAAATATTTTTACAGGAACATAGTAAAGCTATCGGATTGTTTCGATCGGCCTCGTCGAATTTCCTTTATTCTTCAATATCACTTTTAATTTAAAACATACAGAGTGAGTCACTTAAATTTAGATCCTAAAATTTAGTCCTATTGCCTTCTTTTTTATACCAAAGGAAAATATATAAAGAATAAATTGTGTGGTTGGAAAAGTTGGCTGGCCATAATATTTAATTCTTCCAACCGCCTAATTTATTCCTTACGCATTTTCTTCTAATATAAAGAACAGGTATATTAGAATTTAACATTAGATGACTCATCCTTCATATTTTAAGTCAATAATAATATTAAAAGGTTGGCTGTCCACAATATATTAATTCCTCCTTTCTCCAGCCAAATAATTTATTCAGTACAAATCTTTCTCTAATATAAAGAATGACAGAGATATTTTAGAATCTAACGTAGGTGACTGCGTATTTCAAATAAAGAATAATATCGAAGGATTAGTTAACCACAATATTCATCCCTTCCGCGCACAATTTATCCATTGCCCATTTTTCTCTAAAACAAGAAACAACTAAGAGATATCTTAGAATCCAACGTCAGACGATTTAACCTGTATATTCGAAGTGGTCACTAACTACCCACGCGAATGTTGCTCAAATTAAAACCCATTGAAATCCCACGAAGCGACGAGTGAATTTATCTTTGACCAACAAGACGATCGCGCGAGACCCAATTAAAACTAGTTCGACGACTGTTTGATTAACGGCGACCTTCGGCGGGAACTGGTACGGGTGCACCGATGATTATTATTCGGCTATGTATCGACATTCGGGCGGATGAGCAATTTTCAATGCGGGAGTCGCCGGCGCGATACGTAAACCGACGGTTTACATAATAGTGGCCATGCATACACGCACTGGCGCGTGTATAACACGCGTGTGCGATTCATCGAGGAGCGCTCGGTGAGTCACGGAGCGACGGAGAAGACAGAACAATTTACCTAGCCGTACAGGACTTGTCAAGCCCGCGAATTCGCGACGGGTGAAATGCACGCTTCAGCATCCCGGTGGATGGGGATCCCAATGGAAAAACGGCAGAAATTCGTCGCATCCGCGTAACGCGACGGTCACGAGGATCCAGCCACTTGGCGACAAAGAACGACGAAATAGACATTGTTTGCGCATTTTCGGCCATTTAAGTATGTTGGGCACGCGCGGGACGATTCGTTTACGCTCATTGAAGGAAGCGTCTCCGTCGCGAATGAGAGAGAGACACGTAAGTACGGACGACGTGAATTTTAGATGACGTGAATATCTGTCCTCAAGTGAGGAGGAAAGGTCATTCAAGAGGCGGAAGAACCAACAGTTTGATCGCTTAATAGACGTCTCCTGAGTGTATCCAGAATTATTGAGGCATTACAGCGAATTTGCGTTCAACCGCGGATAACAAGATTCTTCAGAATGCGATAGAGCGTAACGTGTTCATCGAGTATCTTTCGACTTTGGAATTATTCTTTGATCGAGAGAGAGAGAGAGAGAGAGAGAGAGAGAGAGAGAGAACCGGGGGAAGAGATCCTGTCTTGTTCGCTGAAGAATAGAACGTTTTTACAGTTGGCTTCCTTTCGCCAGCAAATCGAGGGAGATAGAAAGAGAAAGAGAGAAAAAAATAAACGGTCGATTGATCCCTTTAAATGTACTCAAGGTCGCATGGCCTCTGCCACAGCTTGGTCAGCCCTGCCATTGCACTTCCGCTCGATATATTGAATGGTCCCAAATGAATGCTTTTAAAACACAAACGCGACACGTCATGCCGGCACGCAGGTGCGTCCGTCCTCAACGACGACTAGTCGAGCACGCTATTAGGTTGATGCAACAGATTTATCGTTAAAATTCCCCAGGAAATTTGGATATATTCAAGGGAAAATAGTCGAATAGAGTCGACGTTGCTCATTTTACTCGCAAAAATTATTAATCCTTCGAAATTGGATAATTTCATTTTCTGTTTTATTTAACAAACACGTTAAACCCCAGGATTGGACTTTTACGCGTAAATTATGATGTTCTACAGTATATATCCTAAGCGTATATCGACTATACATAAACTATGCAAGAGATGTCATAAATAATAAGGAGTAATCAGTGAATGTTGTTTAAAGAACAATATTATATGGCTCTTATTCAAGAATTAATCGAGAAAACTTTATATTTTTATTTAACCTTTAGAATTCTGATATAAATTTATAACGTTTTCTGTTACTCATATAATTAAATACGATAACCGTGTCACGATTTAATTGCTCTTTTTTGTATATTTTAATATTAATTTACAATATTCTACATAGTTTACATTGTTTACACGAAGAAAGACTGTGTAGTATGCATCAGGCAGATGACACGCAAAAAATTCACGTAAACGTAATCGCTTGAAATCTACCTTGCGACAAACCTTTTGCACCAACCCAGTAGAATGTGCAGTACTGATTGCTAAGATGAGTTTATGCAATAATTCTCTGATTCTCCAAGTAATGCTCTTTTGCAAAAATGTCTCTAACTCATCTCTCAAGTTTCCCATCACCTTCCACCGCGAGCAACCTCATGATCTTCACGGCAACTCGCATCCGTTCGTCCGCAGGGCACTCGATGCTTGATTACGACGGACAAAAGGCCCAAGCTTGCCCAAGGCGCGACAGCAGTGGGTCAGCAACACGAGCCACGCCGCGAATCCGTGAACCCGACATCGAAAATCTCATCGGGATCACGAGGCACACACCAAGCGTAGACGGCGTGGGCCGGAACGGAAAAGAGCGAAGGAATCAGCGAGCGAGTCGTGAAGCACAGAAGCGAGCAAGTGAGCGAGCGAGCGAGCGAGCGAGCGAGAGAGAGAGAGAGAGAGAGAGAGAGAGGCGACAAGAACGAGGGAGCGGTGTAGGAGGAAGAGAAAGAGAGAGGAGGAGGGAGGATAAGGTAGGCAGAGTCCAAGAAGGGCGGCGAAGAGAAGACTAAAAGGGGGGCCCCTCCCCCGGTGGCTCAGGCGAGGAGGGTCGGGGCCCCCTTGCACGATCCTGGCCGCCAGCACGGGTGGGTAAATGGGTATATAAGCGGGGCCCCGGCGATTCCATCTCGACACACGACCCAACCTTCATCCCGATCGCCAACGATCCTTCGCAAACGAGCGTAATCGCACGCGCGCGAAAAGACATACACAGACAGAGAAAAGAGAGAGAAAGAGGCAGAACCCCCCGCGTCTCTCCTCGAGTCCACTTTTAATCGTTCTTCGCACTCCGATCAGTCGTGCCGATCAACAGTTCGCGCGACCCGGTGAGAGAGAAAGAGAGAGAGAGCCGATTTGACAGAGAGAGAAGAGCAAGAGGAGCCAAGGAAGAGCCCGCTGTGCCCGACGCCGACTCGTCTGGCAAGAGTTTCTCGATTACGGAGGAGAGAACAAGACGTGAGTACCTTTTTTACGGGCAGAATATCCCCAAGCAACCCTCCCTCGACCGAAGAAACTCCGTCTCGAGACCGCTCGCGAGAGATCCCGTCCAGTTGATCTCTCGACGATGGATGCAATAACGAATTTGTTGACTTTGCCACGGACTTAGCCGACCCGCCGCTTTTTTTTCGAGACACCTGTCTGTGGGATAGGAGTTTCTTCGTCGAGCGTCACCTGTATGTCATAAGCGAGCGGACGTTGACATCGCGAGAGCCCAACCCGAATCCACATCCGCTGGTCCAACACGTATAGTCGTTTGCACAAAAGCCGTGACGCAGTTTTGGACAAGATCGATGAACGAATACGTGAAACTAATGAGACTGCGGCTCTAACGAAAAAGGTACTCTCTGTACGTCTAACACTTTCACTACACTCTTCCGGAGTTATAGAGAAGAGTGCAGTGAGAGTGTTATGGCATACGCAGAGTATCTTCTCCGCCAGAAACTCTCATTTTCGTCAGGGGGGGACATCTGTGCACGAGTTTGAGCACTGAGAGCTGTCAAATTTTTAAAAGAAGTTTTTAATAGAAGTTGTGCAAAAGTAATCAATAAACACAAGTGTAAATATTATTGTATTAGATCTATAAACTTGTCCAAAAGAAGTGTCGCGACTTTCCCGCAAGCGACTGAACTGAATTGTCTCTGAACACTAAGAGAAAAAATCCTTAAAGAACAAAAAATATTTACTCAGTGGGTGCTAATAACATATTACCGCCTATACTAATATTTTTGCACAGAAAACATTTTTTTCAAGTAGAAAAATCTTTTTCAAATACATTTTCCTAAAATCGCTGCTTTTCACAAAAGCAATTGTTTATTCTGTCTAAACAAGAGAATTTGATGAGAGATGTAAGTAAATATGTTATTAGTACCTTCCGTATAAGTATTCTTTATTCTTTAGGTATCCTTTCTATCAGTGAAGAGATCCTCTCATTTCCGACGTGTCATTGAATCAATTTTCGAACAAGCCAATACTAATCAAGTCTAATACTGTCAAATCGAGTTGATGACGAAGGAACTTTCGGCAAAGCCTCGCGAAGACATCCGTGTCCATAATCGCTCGTTTCGCGTTTCCAAAGTCGTCTTCACGCTTCTTCCGCACTGGAAGAAGCTCGAAGACGCAGGTAAGAGACGAAGTCGGAGTGACAAGTGCGGTTCGCAGACGCAATTACTTGGCTCGAAATGATCGCGTGCGCGCGCTTGTGTGCCGGAGACTTTTCTCGAGTCTCGCGGCTAGCTGCACTTCTTTCGCAATACGCGTAGGACTCGATATACCGAGGGTTTTGCCGCGGCAATAGAGACAGTTTTGAAAGTGGAGCGCGATAATGCCATTGTTCGCCGTCCGCTGGCATTCGTTCAATTAGCCGGGGCGCGGCACGCAACGGGATTTTCAAAACGACAGCGAATGATCAGCTCCGGTGGTCGCTATCGGAGACGATCGGCTCACAACTAAACCGCCGCTAAATACGCTCGCGCTGAGTCGCGCTTCTAATTCATACAAGTTCATTTTCACCCAAGGGAACGTAATCTCAAAGACAGCGCGCGCGTTTGCATCTCCATAAGAGAACGCGGAATGACGGCCCGCGTTGAAGTCGCGTCGCGACACCATCGACCAACCAGTTGTTGACTCCCAATGCGAATTCAAACGTACGTCTACTCGATGTGTACGAAACGCGCTTCTTGCCATTCTATGTTAATGAAGGAGAATTAATTTTATAGACAGCTCGATGCTCCGCGAAGGAGCAGGGAGCCCGATGTCGTAGCAAGTCGCTCGCGTGCTAACCTCGCATCATCGCCGTCGGTATAGATAATTCGTAGATTTCTCAAGGAGCAACACCGCGCGCATTTGCGTAATTTCGCGTTCCCCTCGCAGCGCGCACCTCTCCGACCCTTAATTAGCCGGCTTAATCTGTCAATCTGCGGAGTACCTGCGAATGTCGCGACGTCGACTCGAGGTCGCCGCGCGACGTTGTCCTAAGTCTTCTCGCAGCTTTCTTCTCGTGATCGACGAACCGTCGACCGCGCTTCGAATGGTCCGCGTCCCTAATTAATCCCTGCGGCCCTGTGCTCGTCTTCCACGCGCGACTTCGAAGTGGATCACGGCGCGCTTAGGTCAGACCAGTGGATTTCGCGATTTCATCCCACACGAGCGAATACCGCGAGTTCGGAGCGGATCTCGCGTGTTTTAGGTCGGATGAAGGAGTTTCGCAACTTCAAATCCAAACGTCGCTCCTTCAATACGCCACAATCGGCAGTCGCTAGGCGAAGAGAAAGAGAGAAAGAGAGAGAGAGAGGGGGGAGGGAAAGAACAGAAGACTATAATCATTGACGTTGGAGCGCTTGATGGCGCGCGACTTCTTTGTGGTACCATTATTACATCTCTGATGATCTTGATGAGGTAATCGGCGTCCATCATCTTTCACAGCCATTTCCTGCGTCTATCGACCTGTGTCGCCTTTGTGTTGGCATTCGCGCCGCGATTAGCGACTCTAGCGTCGTCTTCCCCCATGGAATTTCGTTGATTCTACCGTTCCCGCCGTTTCACTGTCCCTTTCCGTCTCTTTCTTTCTCTCTCTCTCTCTCACTTTCTAAGTCCCTACGAGGATTGCGCAGAACGGAAGGACATTACGTGAGATCGGCGACATCGCCGCGCATCGACGAGTACGTTCTCACGTAATGCTGTATATAGGAAATAATTAACGAAACGTCCGTGATGCACGGACAATAAACCGACGGGTATGGTACTTGCATTAACTCGCAATTAAGCCTGTTGCGACGGCGAGCGCGCGCTGTGTATATCCGGTGCAATTACATCTGCGCGCGCGCAATTCCACGAAAATATTTGGACAATTAAATTTCAACCTAACTCTCGAGACAACGCGCAAAATTTCATGATCGTCACGCAGGCAGCTTCTCAGGTTCCGGTGACGTTCGCACAAGAGACGGCCTTGTGCGAAATCACAGTCGGAGAGACAGGTCTATTCTTCTTAGCTGGAGTAGGTTGAGCTTTCAGCTTTTAAGGTGGAACAAGTACGTAAAGAAAATTGTAGGGAAAAGGAACAAAGTTCCAGTGCGGCACTACTTCAGCTGAAAGAACAAGCCTTAAATCTATTTTTTTAGTTAGACCAGTTGCATTTTCTGCCTTTATAGTGAAACAAAAATATAACTTTGAACTATAGAATTGAAAGGAAATGGAGCGAAATTTTAGTGCATTAGAATTTTGCAGCATCAGAGTTCAGTTAAGAAGAACAGATATAAAGTTTTTTTTAGCTGGACTAGGTTGCACTTTCTGCCTTTAGAGAATGAAACAAATATACAACTTAGCGTTGAAGGGAGAAGAAACAAAGTATCAATGCAGCACATTAATTCAACTGAAACAAGTCTTAGGTTTGTAGAGTGAAACAAATACACAACCTAGCATTGAAGGGAAAAAGAACGAAATTCCAGTGTAGTACCAGTTCAGCTAAGAAGAACAGGTCTTGGATCTATTTTTCTAGCTGGACCGAGTTGCACTTTCTGCCTTCAAAGTGAAACAAGCATACAACCTAGCATTGAAGGGAACAGGAAAGAAGTTCCAAGAAAAGAAGTGCAGCACAGTTCAGCTGAAAAGAGCAAGCCTCAGGTTTGCTCTTTTTAATTGGATTGAGTTGAATGGAACTTTTGCCGTTGGAATGGAACAAGTATACGACCGAGCATTGGAGGGAAAAGAGGAACGAAATTCCAATGCAACACTAGTTCAGTTACAAAGAACAGACATAAGGCGTATTCTTTTCAATTCAACCAAGTTGCACTTTCTGTCTTTAGGGTAAAATAAGTATATAACTTAACATTTAATGGAATATAAACAAAGTTTCAATGTAGCATTAGTTCAGCTGAAAAGAATAGCCTAAGGCCTGCTCCTTTTAGCTGAACTAGTTTGCATGTTTTGCCTTTAGAGCAAAACAAGTAGATAACGTAGCCTTTGAAGCGAAAGGAACGAAGTTTCAGTGCAGCGCTAGTCCAGCTAGTCTGAAAAGAACAGGCCGCATTTCTGCGTGCGTTAGCGCGAGTGGCTGCTGTTGTCAGTAACTAACGTGTTGCGATTTGTATTGTATAATAAGGAGGATCGAAAGTGAGTCGGCGAGCTCGATTCACTTTCTCGACCGCGACACAAGGTGCTTTCGGCCGATATCGGTGATATCGCGGCGAGAAGGAAGGCGGGCGCAGGCAGCCGGCCTCGCAAGAACGATCGTTGCAACCGCCTGCAATTGCATTGCCAAACGCGAACTCGCGCCGTAAAAAACTGGATCGTTTTGCCGCCTCCCACCCGTTCACTGTCTTGGCTTACGCCTTGTTGTTCCCGTCTTCGTCGCTACTTCTCTTTCTTTCTCTCTCGCCATCTTTTGCCTCTTTCGAGCGGTTTGCATTCCGGTTTGCCGCGACTGGACATTTTCCACGAGGCGTACAACAGCCGCGACCGTCGCAACAGGACGCAACGTCGTTCGTCCCTGCATCCGCGAGGTGCAAAAGGAAGCGGAAATTTCATGCGCAGAGTAATCCCGAAAATCACCTTCCGCGCGACTCGAGAAAATATCTCATACTTCGCATATCAAACGTTCATTCGACGACTCGTCGTTAGTTCGCGCTTCGCCGAAAATTCGCGGCGAGATTAAGTCGCGACCGCTAAGAGTAGTCTGCAATTAAACGCAAAAGTGTGAGATTAGAACGTGACCTCCAGCGACGACTTTCCATTGAATTCGTTGATAAGAAAAAATTGATTAGCCGATAACAGTCGCGTGGTACAGCGCGTCGGAACGAATTGCTTCTCCGTCACGGTGATTACGCTTAACTCGAGCGCTAATGATCGCCGATCGACCGCGTTGAGCCGATAACGCGTAAATGCCGGGTCGTTTGTCTCCGATTTTACGCACGCCTACGCGCGCGAATGCAGAACAGTCTTCTAGTGTTTCGTTCGCGCGGCCTGACGTGGCGACGCGTTCTGCGACGTACAGGTAAGGTCGTCGCGGGCTAGAACGCTTGCGTCACACACCGTGCATATTTATTATCCATGCACTTCGCGGAGTATGAGTATTATATAGAGCTGCGTCTTGCATTTTACTGCAAATCTATGCATGTTGATACACTCAACACCGCTGTGAGTCTCCCACCCGATAGTTATTAGAGTCTGTTAAATATTTTATGGAAGGAACATCCCTGGAAGTTTACAACGATGACGTCTAATGTAATCGTGTATATAACACAAAAGATATCAATTCTATTGATGATCTTGCTGGTGGATTCAGAAACAAAAAAGCGAGCATCTAAATAAGAAAAAGAAATATCTAACAAATAAAAAATATTTATCCGGTGTACTGATAACATATATATTCATTTAACACTGGTATACATATTTTTAAAATGAGAAAAAATGTTTCTCAAGTGAGAAGATGCACATTTTTTTTTAATTACAGCTTTTTATAACAATAGTTGTTTATTCCATTTAAAAGAAAGGATATAGATTTTTAAGTTAATATAATTTAAGTTAATATGTACCCTAAAGATATTATTTTATCTTTAGCGGAATTCTTTTATATATGGCCTCAAGAGAATTTCTCTAAAACTAAAAGAGAAATATTCTAAACACAATATTCTTAAAATTAGAGGAATTTCGTCCTTTATAGTATACAATATACTAAGAGAAAAAATACATAAAAAGGTAATAAATATTTATTTGGTGTGTGGGTATACTAACATATTTATTTAAATCTCTACATTTTTTTATTTGAATAGAATAAGCAGTGTTCTCATAATAAACTAAGATTTTCTTATGAGCATGAGATTTTAAGAAACTTTTAATGTATATATTCTATTGTAAATGTGTATATATTCCATTTTGAAAAATATTTTATATTAGCATAAGTAAATATACTATTAATAAATATCTATTATATTTCAAGTATTTTTTCTCTCAGAGTTTTACTTGTCGCATCTTTTTTATCGCATGTAAAAGAGCACTCTGCTTCAAACATATTCTACTTGATCCAAAAGAAGAAAATATAGAAAAATATCTAGTAGATCTCCGATTAATCCACTTCATCAAAAGACAGATGATCTTTTGGCGATAGTTTTCACTGGTAATATAGGATTGCAGGAAACAGCACCTTGCAACTAGAATTCTTTTTTGTGTGGAATATTTTCCTTTTGATTTTAGAAGAATTCTTTTGAGACCACATAAAGGGCCTCGCTAAGGATGAGATTATATTGTTCTGGACGTGTTATTAGTACCTACGAATAAATATATTTTACTCTTTACATATTTTTTATTTCTTATTTTCAATTTTTTACTTTTCTTCAGATTATTTATTTTCTGGACATCCAGCTTTCTTTTCGATATTATCCTCCCAATGTACCCTCAACATTCTCCAGGAGAATCGTCCCCTACATGACGGTACCCGCGCAAGACGAACGTCACAGTGTATTTCTTCAACGTGTCGCGCATGGAGGAATAAAACGTGCGCGGAGAAACCGACACACACGCATAACAAGCGCGAGGGGCACGCATCCTGTCATTAGTTCCATAACGTTTGCCTTATTCGGTGCATTCGGTTCAATGTCATCCGTCCCTCTCCTTCCTGCCGATTCTCCCGCAGCAGCCCCGATGTAACGTCCATCGCCACCCAGCGCGACCGCTCGCTCCGATTCCACGCACTTCGCTGCCCATTAACGATCATAGCCGTCGTCCTTTTGTCTCGCAACACCTATCCGCGATCGAGTCCATTCATGCGTGTGTTCTCGACCACTCAAGACCTCCGTTCTTCTAACTGAAAGATTGCGCGTCTCAGTGTCTACCCGATGTAGCGGTACAGAACTCCGTTGAAATCCTCCGTTAAGACTCCTGGCCCGAAAAAATATACACCGAAAAAAATGGATATGTCCATAACGTGACTTTTTGAGGATCAATTGAATACATTTGTAAAATATTCTAAAAACTTTCCTTTTGCTCTTTACGATCAGTAAATAATCGTAAAGTTAACGTGACATGCAACCTTTCTTTCTAGGGGATCCTCTCTCATAACTTTGTTACGTAAATTTTACGGTTACTTATTGATTGTTAGAATAAAAATAAAATTTTCAGAATATTTTAAAATCAATTGTTCAATCGATCACAAGTGTCATTTTATATTAACATAACATTTTATTTCGACATGTTCCGCAAAAATTTTAGGCATATGTTTTCTCACTTTTCTGACGTTAATAGTAATCAAGATGGTCGCGGCGAGGACACAGCAGTTTTAAGATCAAACCAAGGATCCCTCGCAACAACGACGATTATCATATCACGAATATTGGTTATGATAGAGTTGTCACATAAAAACTGTTGATATTCTGAACGGAGTCAATCTCGCTGATAAGGCGACACATAATTTATCGCGGCGAGCACACGGAAAAGATTTTAGTTTGTACAACTGAATGGGGCTGGATGAAAAATTCGCTAACGAGAAATGATATTATTGTGACTGAAAACATTTGTCTAAACATTTAGTTGCATTGAAACTCGATTGAGATAGCTAAGAGTAATCGGCTGAGTAGAAACCTAATATGGAAATCTTTCCATTTCTACGACCAATTTCTCCTTCAAGTGACAGACAATTCAGTTGCGCTAACGAAGCTGTCTTCCCCGTGCAGTGTCTAAAATACGACGTGATTTTGCAGATATCACAATGATAAAGTTCACCGTGGTAACGATGGTGTGCCTGTTGGGGCTGAAGATGATCGCCGCTATGCCGTTGGCCGATCACCACGAAGGACACGAGCCGCTTCCGGTGGTTCCTCTCGAGGAGAAGGCCGCAGCGGAAGCTCTGAAGGCAGCGGAAACGACCGCGCAGAGCAGCGCGCCCGTAGAAGCGGCGCAAGCACAGCCACAGACACCAGCTGAACAGCCCACCGTGGACGACGCACCCACGCTGAGGAGCAGCGAGTCCTCCTCCGAGGAAGCTCAGCCGGCCGAGACGAAGAAGGAAGAGCCGCAGCAGCCGGCTCAGCCGAAGGCGGTCGAAGAGACCGCGCAGTCCAAGTCCTCCTCCGAGGAACACCTCGAGGAGAAAGAGGAACCCAAAGTGTTGGCCCCCGAGCAGGAGAAGAAGGAAGAAGAGTCCCTGAAACAAGCGGCCTCTGAGGCTCAGGAATCTGTGCAGCCTGCGCCGCAGGAGCAGCAACCTGCTGAGGCCCCGGTCGTGCCGAAAGCGGTGGGTCTCCGATTTTTTCCAACTTCCATTCTATCCTCTTTCTAACCTCTTCTTTCTCGACAATTATATAAATTAGGTCAGTATATAGTATATAGAAAACGATGTGTCTTTAAATTCTTCGAATTGTCAGTCTGTCCTAACTTCTTTTTGTCGACAATTCATATAGCATGAAAATCGTCCTCAATAAAGACGTTTCGGAATACAACTTTGGTCTTTAAGTAAGAATATTTAAAGATCCTGGACATTCTTATTGTTGTGGTCTTTAAGTGTGCGAATATTTAAAGACCAAAAATATAGAGTATTAAAAAATAGTGTATTCTATTATACTAATATTATATATAACACAGTATACTATATATAATATAGAAAAGATATATATAATATAGAAAAAAAATGTAGTAATACTACAGCGTTTCTCATTTTCTAATTATGACACCGAACAATGATAGTTGAAATGACTTTCATATTTATTGACTTTGTTTTTCTCTTTCTAATAGACAATACTCAACGAACATACTCAATAATTAAAATCGAACATTTTCCAGGAGGAACAAGTAGCCATCGAGGGTAAGAGCGCGGAACCAGCGGAAATAGCTGAGAAATCCGCGATCGCCGTTGAGAAGACCGACGTCGCCGCTGCCGAGACTATCAAAGAGGACGCGAAGGAGGAGAAGAAGTTGGAGGAGCCGGAGCCGGCCCTGAAGACAGAGGAACCGGAAGTACCCGCGGTCGCCGCCACCGTCGCCGAAGAGAAGAAAGTCGAGCAACCCGCTGAGCAACCGAAAGAGGCCGAGGGTCACTCACCCGCCCACGCTAAGATCGAAGAAAAGCCAGAGCGCGTGACCCGTGACGCCGAGGAAGCCGCTGCGCCAGCTCCTGTGCCTGTACCTGCCGCCCCGGCCGCGCAGGAAGTGAGCCAGCCGCAGGAGAAATCCGCGCCGATCGAAGCCGAACAGACACCCGCGGAAGTAGCTAGCCCGGTGGAGGAGCCGAAGCCGGCCGAGAAGAGCGAGAAGATCGAGAAGGACGAGAAGCTGGAGACCGCGGCGGCTGAGCAGCCGGCCGTCAAAGCCGAGGAGACAGTCAAGAGCGAGGAGAAAGTAACCGAGGCGGTGGCCGAGACTGAGAAGGTGGCGAAGAGCGCCGAGGCGCCCATCCAACCGGCGGAGGAGCCCGCGAAGGAGCCTGCGCAACAATCTCAGGAGCCCAGCCAGATCAAGCGGAACACGACGGCTGACTCGAAGATCGAGGAGCCTGCTCAACAACAACAGCCGGAAGCTGCCAAAGAGGTGAAGGAGCGCTCCAACTCCTCCGAGGAGAAGTCCGACAACAGCAAGGAGTCCAGCGAGGAGGAGAAGTCCGCCGAGGAGAAGGATACCAAGGCGGTGGAGCAGACCAAGGCGGAGCTGCTGCCGAAGCCCGAGCAGTAAATCTCCCGGCGCTAGGTGGATTGACACGAGTAACCTCAAGCGGCAGCAACAGCAGCAGCAACAACAGCACCACCAACATCGCGAGGAGGAAAGATCCTCTTAAGATCGAGACGAGCTCAGGCATCGGCGCTCCAGCAACCCCTAGGACACGTGCACGAGTTCGTCGCGAGACGGCAGGAGCGAGAGCGAGAGAGAGCGAGAGTGAGAGAGCGAGAGAAAGAGAGAGAGAGAGGAAGAGTGCGAACGAGATAGAGAGAAAGAGAGGGAGAAAAAGAGAGAGCGTGCGAGAGCAAAGAGAGAATGTGAATGTCGGAATGTCCGAGAGTAGGAGTGCGCGGCAATGAAAAAAAAAAAGAAGTGTGAAAGTAACGCAAGTGTGAATGAGAGAAGCGCGAACGAGCGACCCCATCGACATGATCGATCTTTTTTTTGCTCTTTGTGGTAGGGTTGTCCGATCTTCACTACGCGCACTACGATCTCCGGCTAAGCGCATTCTCGGGGATTCTGGGGCGAGCGCGTGTTGCCAGACGGCCGAAGGGTCGAACAGAGCGAGAGCGGCGTCTCGTAGCCTCGAGACGCGCGTTCGACTCGTTCGCGACGCCCTGACGAGACGGGAACACGCGGTGGTCCCAGTGGGATGCAGCTCGACCCGCTCCGAGCGGCATTCCCGTTCGTCCCCGTGGACACCGCGATCTGTCCGCGGGGACGAACCCCGTCCCCGGGAATCGGTATCTCTCACCCACCCACCTACCCACCCACTCAGCCAACTTTACCCACCCTCTATTCCCCGGAACCCTACGTCTCATCTTAAAATGACGCACTACTACACCCACAAGCCCATCCCGATAAACTAGTAAGTAGCTCGACTCTGTCTTCTTTAGAAATACATGTGTCATTATTATTATTATTATTATTATTATTACGATTTAGTACCAGTACCACTATTATTATTAATATTATTATTTGTATTATTGCTATCATCATCGTTATAATAATAATTATTATTATTACTGTGAGATCCCGACGGCGTGTTTACTTCTCGTGTCGTTACCGATCGCCCGCTCGCGAGTCATACGAGTGCGAGTGACAAAATGCACACAGAAAAGAAATATGGTGCGCATAACTATAAATATTCAGTTGTCAGCAGCGTGGTCGCATCACCCTGGTTATTTAATATGTATGGGGTTGATGTGACTCAATTATTTTGGTATATCGACTGCGTCGAGTTACGGGTGATCTGGTTGTGGCAACCAGAAATCAGTGAAATGGGGTGACATTTACCACGGATACACTAGTTGGAACAAGCAAATATCGTCACTGCTGCGACATCAATGCCTCAGCGATTGCTCTGTGGTTGCGACCACATAATCAGTTGTTCCGTACGTTACTGTCGAATCTAGTTGGCACAATCAGATTTATGTGTGGCTCAACCATATTGTTTTTTTTCCGTGCTGAATCGAAGATCTCGAACTTCACGCGTACGGCAATAATCACTATGCACCCGCTCAATTTTTACACGAACAGCTTACACGAGTTTCAGTCCGCGTTTAAATGCCAACCACTCCTCATGGAGAGCGGATAATTTACGGCGCTAATCGTTTCTGATGTTGAAAAGTCTAAACATTCTTGTTGCTCGAGAGCAAAAAACTTCAAGATAATAGCGCGATCCCGTTCGGCGCAGGCAAGAATTTCTGAGGGGAGCAAATGTTAATTGCGAATATATGGAACATGCATCAGACTTGAATGGTATATTCGCGAGAACAACGATGACGAAAGCCGCGTGAGTTTCTGCGCAAGCTGTTTGGCTGATAAATCCCGCGCGATTCGTTCGACTCGCGGCGTGCATTACATTGCACTACGACGCGATAAGGCGCACAACGACGGCGGTCACGTGATTTTTCAATCAGAACGTTGCAGAGACGACGACGACGTTGACTGGCTCTCGAGAGCGCAGCAATAAGTTAACCAGTGAGTCACGCAGAGAGTAGCACTTATGTTCCCAACAGCAGCCCATGGCATATGTGCCTGCCACTATATCAGATATGATAATTGGAGTCTTCCGCCAGCCGATAAACATCTTCGCACTCACCTAACACGAAATAACAAGGCACAACGAGCGTGCACCGCAAGCGGATTGAGTAGATGGTGGTAATCCGCTGGTGCGACCCTTTAACCCTTTGTCACGCCCACGAATCGCTCAGGCACGCAATAAGATCCGGCGCGATGTGTCTCACGAGTTTTAAACGCTCCCCTCAGGGATCTCCATGATGGTAACAGCTTTGCGATTCTCAAACGCCCTGAACGCGCGGGAAAGTACACACGCTAAAATTCTCCCCCGTGAGTAACGTTATAAACGCGCGGGAAAGTACACACGCTAAAATTCTCCCCCGTGAGTAACGTTATAAACGCGCGGGGTAATTATAATCACGATGAATTCTCATCGATTTTGTGTTCTAAATATACACAGGGTGTTAAAAAGAAGAATTTTAGACTTATAGAGAGCTTACCAAACTCAAAATTAAGAGTCATTACTAACAGGCTTTCTTGCCCAGTAATTATATTACTAATTATTATATATATAATTATAATTATTATTAATATTATTATTATTTATCATTATTTAGTGTTCTTAATCATATTATTAGTCATATTATTAATATGTAAATTCGTCTATAATGATTTTCAATTCTGGCAATTTAATGAGCTCTCAATATTTTGTCTAAATCGTTTTGCAACCTACTGTACATGATTTCCTTACCTAGCTTATTATATGTGCCGTGAAAATAGAAGATTGTTTCATAACTTTCTCATTACCGTGTTTACAAAAGATATTCTACATATTCTCTTTCCATTTTTACATGCAATTCGCAACACAGGATTTTCTTAACATTTTACTTCAAAACAAAATATTAAACATTTGTCTTCACGATTTATGATTACATATCTATACAGTGTTACACAATTACACATGGTTATGAGATAACCTCCAGTTTTCACGCTGCACATATAATAAGCGAGAAAATCATGTGTACCATCGAAACTGAAAACTGCTTCTAACTCTGAAAATATGAACTTTCATGTTCATTAAATATTTTTTACTCAGTTCAGTTTTTACTCTTTCTCTCTCTCTCTCTCTCTCTCTCTCTCTCTCTCTCTCTCTCTCTCTCTCTCTATCTGTCCTATAGGTATATAAGTCTAGAGATTTTTTTTAACACCCTATATAGATGCAATCGATCGATTGCAGTAGTGGCATAAAAATAGCAATGCAAAAACAGAGAACAAAGTAACATAATGAAAAATGTAGAAATACATAAAATAGAAAACGGAGATATAAAAATTGGAAAATCATGTAAATTCAATTAAATTCATGATCGCTTAGATTCTCCTAGCGCAATGGTTTTGCACAAAGGATGCAGCAGATCTCAGGGCGGGTCTGCCAAAGGATCAGTCGTCGAAGGATAGCGTGGAGATTAATTCACACATTCACGACGTACGTATAACCCTCTGTTCTCGCGTGCGAGCCCGCAACGAATCTGCTATCCACAGAGAATGCACTTGCACAAGACCGGCGGTCGCGCAATTGCTCGCGAATGTAACATCCGTATGCGGCACGCCGACATTTCTCCCGCGATGCATCGATTCATCAAAGGGCGTGCGAGCAGCTCTATCGCGCGACGATGCGCCGGGTAAGAGTAAAAACAACGGCGTAAGGTGCATAAGGTGAGTGTACCCGGCGAAATGTCAAGGCGTGCAAGAGAGAAGGAGAGTTTTGCAACGTTTCGCCGCGGCGGGATTGTTTCGTTTCATTGTAACGCGCCGCATTCTCGCGTCGCGCTAAAGTTTAACGTCCAATGCGATCGTTCCACCATCGCGTTAACTGCACGCTAGCCTCTGCCGTGTTTGACGCAAAAAAGATCTTCGCCAATAAATTTAATCCCTCCACGTTAAATTCTGCCGTAACCATTAAATTGCAAATCTATCGAGCGAAGACTATGGATTAAATTATAAGCAATGATCTAATTTCTCTTTTTTAAGCCGTGAAGCTTAGTCTACGAAAAAGTCATGTAGTTTTAGCTGTTCAATCGGTTCTTTGTTCAGTTAATTATAGTCGATTTTGACCAATGTTTGCGGAAATATTTGACGAGAATAGAACGGCTAGGTAATCGCATCGGTAGGTGCATATAATGGCACGAGGTTCTCAATTGCCTCCGTGGCGCAATCGGCTAGCGCGTTCGGCTGTTAACCGAAAGGTTGGTGGTTCGAGCCCACCCGGGGGCGTTACTTTTTTGTATATTTGTAACTTCTTTTTAAATCGATGCAACAATTTGTATATACTTTTACATTGAGACTATAAAATAAAGTAGCTTTCTATTCTAGATATATTTAAATGTCGCAATAATTTAGTTTCAAGATTTAAATGCATAATTTTACAATACACAAATTTAAATGTACTAAATATAATGAAGAACAATTGCTGTCAAGTTGATTCATCATTATTGCAAATTCTAGTGTGATAAAAATTAGTAAAAAAAAAAAGAACTTGACCCCGACGTGATTTGAACACGCAACCTTCTGATCTGGAGTCAGACGCGCTACCGTTGCGCCACGGAGTCTTGTGATGTTGCTCACTTCTAGTGCATTGATACGACTAGTCGTATATTCGAAGCGAAGTATCATGATAATAAAATTCAGATTTATGATAGGATATATGACTTACAATCTGCCACACACCTGATTTGTGAGTAAGAAGCAGGCTAAAACACCGAGTGACCACCAGTCGACCTCCTGTCCGTAGTATTCTTTTCTTAATATCTCTGGTGCTGCAAGATTAATATGACATATTTAGTATAAGTGTTGTAGAACGATACAGATGTATATTTTATCTTCTTCCTTCAATTATTTTTTAAGATGAATATATAGTATATAATAATATATATGTGCAAATAATCAGGTCTCTATTGAATTAAAAATAAATAATGTGTGTCAAACTGCTCACCCATATATTCAGGTGTTCCACAAAATGTATTAGTCCTCTCTGTACGTTGCAACCATTTGGCAAAGCCAAAATCAATAATTACAGCATGACCTTCTCCGTCGAGTAGAATGTTTGTCGGTTTTATATCTCTATGCACTACTCCAGCATTGTGCAGAAAATCTGTATATCACACATACAAAATTTTATATGACTGTTCTTACATTGTCGACGAAAAGTGATCGAAATTATTGGGATTCTTACCTAGAGCTAAGGCAATCTCAGCTACATATATCCTAACTACGTCTTCAGGCAAACATCCATACTCTTCAATTAATGAAAATAATTCTCCACCAGGAATGTATTCGGTCACTGCAATAATGTTTATTTTAATCACACATGCTCAAAACTTTAAATACAATGTTTAAATACAATGATAATAAATACATACATATGTACAGTGTCTTTCTGCCTTGCCATCTGTGGGTTGAATTTACTATAAAAGGATGATGCCCAACCATTCCCTGGATCGCAACCTAAATATAGAATGTCAGATTTTTTGTATATTTTATTGAATCAATGTTAATACTTGTCAAAGTGATATTATTTTTAATCTGCTTGTTAGATATATACCTCCTGTTTTGCTTGTACAACAGCATTTTCAGCTACAATCGTAGCTTTGCTGATAACTTTCAAGGCGAAGGCTTGATTGCTGTCCTGTTTCTGTATTTTATAGACTTTGCCATAGGCACCTCTGGCTATTACATCTAAGAAATTATATCCTGTCTTCAAGGACATCTCCTTGATTGGGAACTCTGGTAGAAACATTGACTGTAATCGTGATACTGGCCATACTGTTTTGGAAAAACCATGAGTATCCTGTATAGTGCCTTCGGTCCAACTAGAAATAACAAATATACTTGTAATCTCAAGATTTATTATTAATATTAAGATTGGGATATTTTTCACAGTAAGTTAAATATTGTTCAAATTACCTTCTATGAGAGGCACGGGACCATGATCTTCCTCCTTCATTTGAGGTATGTGTTGTTGCAACGCAGCTTCCACCAAGTAAATCGCTAAGACTGTACTGTAAATACAAATCCATAGTGAGATCTCTTCTAATTTAAAATTAGGGAAGGCATTGCTTTTTATGTAAGGTTTTGAACGTACACTTGGTTGTAATATAGGTTGTAATAGAATGCAATAGAGGAAACCTACTTAATATTATAAATATTTTATTAGAGGTTAGGGTTTATATTCAAATGAGATAAATACCTGACTAGCATATTTCTGATGACTGTGGTAGTTCCTTTTGGTGTTGGAATTGCCCATCCAATTGACGGTGTTCCCGATTGATCGTCGATTCTTTCATACAACGGACGGACAATAATTCGAAAGCAGCGCTTCTCCAAACGTCATTCTGCTGTCAGATCTTTCAAGTTCAAACTCCAGATCGTCTGTTAGTCAGCGCTCACGATCTACCTGTTATTAACATGCAAAACCGCACAATGCAACGCGTATAATTACTTTATTTGATGCATTCAAAAATGGCCGTTACGGCCATCTTGATCATAAAAATCATAATTTGATCATAATAATCAATTACAGAAAACCTATCGTATTTGAAATTCACAGCTCAATATTCTACACTACATTACGCTAATAACAAATTAATCAAAGTTATCATATAACGAATAGCCTGTGTTAGAGAATTTCACGAAAACTTAAATTCGCAATAAATTTATATAACTGCGCATTACACACGCACACATACATACACGAATGTACTATTCACAGGCAGTTTTTGAAGTCGAGCAGAGCGTAAATTACTAAATTATATAACATTTTCGAATCTATTTGCTTGTTTATTTTATTACCTTGTACAAGGAGACGAGGTATCTACGTTCTCGTTGAGAAATTCGACTGCGAAGAAAGAGCGCGAGAACACGTCCATACATGACGAGCGCGCATTCGAAAAGAACGATCGCGCAAAATTCAAATAGAATTGAGATAAGATCACGTGAGCGCAGTATCGCCACCCGCAAGGATTGACGTTCAAGAACGGTAACTTTTTAGTGATTTTAGTGAAGCCAACGTTCTGATTGATGCATTTCTGAAGATAAATAGAAATGCACTAATCAAAACAGTATTTTCATCCAGCAAGCAATCCAGCACGAGAACAAGCACCGTGTGCCGTTAGCTTTATATGTGTATTTTTATTTTTTTAATTTCTAATAAAATGTATGTTTTCACCTTTCAAGTTATATAGCAGCTATTATAAATGTGTCAGCTGGACAATCGATCGAATGATCTTTGAATTAAACGACTTTCAATTGAATTGGTTCATATTAATCATCAATTAAACATAATAATTAACAAAATAACTAATAACTTAATGAAAAAAGGAAAAGAAGGAACAATTTAAGGAAGGTGCAGGAAGTGTAGTTGGAGGAACTCACGCCTGCCGTGACACCGCGACGCCGTGGCATTAGTGCGCCCATATCCATCCGTCCACGTGATATTAGCGCTGTGCGCGGTATATGCGTGTGTCGAGTGTGCCAGAGCAAGTGATTGATTCCCGTTGTGTCAAAAATTATAGGTTTTAGGCGCAATTTTGTATGCCGTCCGCGACCGCGGCCCCGATTCAAGGTACTTGTATGGTAGCCCGCGTCGGCGTCCAGCGCCCGTCACAACTATGATCAAATTATTCTCGTTGAAACAAGCGAAAAAGGATGGAGAGTCACCCAAGGCTGGCACCCAGAAGAAGGCATCCGCAGCACAGTTGAGAATCACGAAAGGTTCGGTCCAACGGGACTGCCGAGGCACGCCGCGACCTCCTCTGACCTGTCGTTATTTTTTCAGACATAAACGAACTCAATCTACCGAAAACATGCGGCACGGAATTCCCGGATCCCGATGATCTGCTCAGCTTTAAACTGATCATCTGTCCAGATGAAGTGAGTAAGCCTAAGCATCTCGGCATCGATGTGACTCCTAGGCGATGTCACTTTTGTTAGCTGTCTGTCGAAAATTCATACTTAAATTTAGTTGTTGGTCTTATCAACAATAACAACAACATATGTTTCAATAGATCGATTACTGTTTCAGGGATTTTACAGGGGTGGTAGATTCGTGTTTAGTTTCAAAGTTGGACCCAATTATCCACATGAGCCACCAAAAGTGAAGTGTGAGACTCAGGTTTATCACCCTAACATTGACTTGGATGGTAATGTGTGCCTGAATATTTTGAGAGAGGACTGGAAGCCTGTACTCACAATTAACTCCATCGTCTATGGTCTCCAATATCTTTTCTTAGTATGTTTTTAATGCTATTAATGTTAACACTTGTGATATCTTATGATATTTTGTAGATATTTATTAGAACCATATTTCTATCAATATGCCTGTTCTTTTTAGTTGAACTAGTGTTGCGCTAAAACTATGTTCCTTTTCCCTTAAATAATAGGCTACATATTTATTTCACTCTAAAGGCAAAAAAACTTGCTAAAAAAAACAGGCTTAGTATTTTGTGACACAAAAGATCTCTAAACTCTATGTACACTTTATCATATCAGTGAGGATATCTGGGAATGAAACAGCATAATTTATTTTTAGCACATTGATATGTCTCAGTGTAATTATAGCATCTGGTATAACATAGCCTAGCCTTCTGCATTATATCTAAATTGATGAGTATGCAAATTGTGCTTATAGGAACCAAATCCTGAAGATCCACTAAATAAAGATGCTGCTGAGGTTCTACAGAACAACAGAAGGGCGTTTGAGCAAAATGTATCGAAAGCTATGCGGGGTGGTTATGTAGGATCGTATTATTTCGAACGGTGTCTCAAGTGATACAGTGCCTCGTCGTCGATACTGTATACGCTTCTTCAAGGACTCACTGTAGGTGAAGAGATCCCAACATACGGGATAAATGCAGGACCCTGTCGCAGTGTCCTTGTTGTCACTTGTGTGACCACATTAACGTATTTACTTTCTTTATGTCTTGCCAGGCCTATGTCTATTTAATCGAACAACTTCGATTAACAAATTTGCTGGCAATATCATGCGCACCGTTCACTCTTTCCGGTAATTACGAAAAAAAAGTCTACTGGCCGCGATATCGTTTTAGCGAATTTGAGGCGCGGTTGTGAGGGGATCGTAGGATTATAGTTTGACACGATTTGGCAGATGATAGATGTTACGATGTAAGACACTTAATTGTGTTAAACATAATATAATTCTGGGCTATATCGAACCTTGAAATCGGCTTTGCGTCTTTATAGATATGTTAATTTATAAAGTATTTATTTCTCCGGATATACATACATATATATACACACGCACACACACACACACACATATATATATATATATATATTATATATATATATATATATATACACATATACACACGTAACTCTCCCATTGCCATTGTAGCTTTTCACCGCAGCATCTATCAAAATTTTGCTCCTCATTTAATCATGTGTACAAGTAACTTATGTATTGACTGAGAATGGAATATAAGGCTGTTATGGAACTATATAAGATATTTTGTTTTTTTTATAAACACATCGTACTTTACACCCGACCAGAGTAGTTGCCGAAGCAGGTCACTCTAATCTACGAATAATGTATATAAGAACGATGATCAGTTTTTACGAAACAAATTTGAATTTATTTCACTAAGAGAGGAGATTGGTTCGCTTCACACTATGTACAAGTACAAACGTTACAGCAGTCGCTAACAGTCGTGAGATTACAATACAATCGTGGGACTTTATGCTACAAAATTTAGTTTATCATTGTATTTCGTAGCCACTATTAGAAACGTTGAAAAGTATATTTTGAACATTACGCTTGTACAGTCAGTGTAAAATAATTGAGCATGTCTCGATGTAGTTTAGAAAAATTGATATATGCAGGAATCACAGAAATACCTATAACGAAGTGTGTTGAAATGTGCCACCAATTCTTTGTTCTCCTATTTGCTTGATGTACGAATCAGAATATTAGACGTCAGTATCAATGTCACATGTTCTTCGAATGGATCTATACTTATTTTGGAGTTCACAATAGTAAATAATCGTGCCAGCGGAAATAACTTTGTGTGTGTGTGTGTGTGTGTGTGTGTGTGTATGTGTGTGTGTGTATATACACATATATAAGAACAAATGAGAACTTCACAAATTAACTGCTTACGATTGTGAATTCCAAATTTCTAACAATTGCGCGTATATTTTGTTGTTTACCGAACAACATATTTAATTAGACAGCTGTGTAAACTCTAAATGCTAATCTATAAACACATATTGTAAACTCCAGAAAAATAAAGGTCTTGGATAAATAAATAAATGATAGATACAATAGAGACTATATTATCGGTTTAATTAATGAAGTTTCTATTCGTGTATATATTAAAGCACCAATATAGTCATATATACATACATATATATATATATATATATATATATATATATATATATATCTTACCTCTTATCAGTTTATACAATATCAAGACTTAATTATATATATGAGATTTTTTGTCGTAAGACTTACCGCGCAGGCGCTACGATTATTCATATAATTTATCATATATATATAAAAACTACCGAATGTGTAGTAAACATCCATTACAAAGAAGTATAGCTCGTCGTATGCTATAAAGAGCAAAGGAACAGCTTTCGTCTTTTCTCTATTAGTTATTGTTAATTTATTATATTTTAATACAGTACTTATAGAACTTATAACTATAGAGAAGTGTCCTGGCCTCACTCCGACCTACAGCTTACTCCGCTGTATTCTTTAATTTAGGTCCCGTCTGCGTTAACGTCTCAAGGCACTTTTTTGAAATACTTTGAAGTTTTACTCAATCAATTAACTTTTTTTTTGTTCTTATTACGTGCACAAAGACTTTTGCCATGTCAAGTAATGGGTCGCGGGTTTTTCAGATCACATAATGCGGAGAGCAACGGTATCTTCTTATCGTCGACGCGTTGTTTATAAAATAGCACGGTACTATAAAAAAATAATTTACGCTTTACATAGACTTCTGATAAACACTGCAAGAAATCGATATATGTTATTCCAAGTAAAGGCGATCTGAGAACAGGGTATTGTGAAAAAAAAACTTACGGCAAAAACGTATGGTCAATACATACAATCTGTTTATTCGAACGACATTAATTAACGTGTGCGAGTTTTCCAAATTAGTGCTAACGAATGTAAGTAGAAAAATAATTTCTATGTCGTGTATGTACTAAAAATGTCTGTCCTAAGTATTAATGTACTAATTTTCAATAGTGGGTAGCGTGGTTGCAGGTTTCTTGCAGTTTTATATCGAAAAAACCAGAGAGAGATATCGTATTCAATAAATAATAGAGGAATTTGTGATTGTGTGAAATCACACAAGCAAATGTAATTATGGTCAAACGGGGGCGTTGACAAAATGTAAGGTAGGTTCACACTATCCATAATAACTTCGGAGATGCTTTCTTGCGGATATAAGATCTGTTGGACTTAAATGTAGACCACACGAGAGTTGTACTCTGAAGCAACACGTAATTGACGCATGCATTATTCTTTGCATTCTGATATAAAAAGCACTTGTGCAGTAATCATTTCACTAACCACAGCACAGAACACCTCTTCTTTGTACGCCTTTATCATTTTGGGCTCTGATATTTATAGTTTATTTATTTCTGCTTCGTGTCCGTCCTATGTAGTTACGACACCACGTGAAAGAAAGAGCTACGCTTATGCATATATGTATAAATTTATCGCACATTTTCGTTGATGTTCTTTATTAAAACATTATGAGAAATTGTTCCGCGAAAAATCTACAATTACGAAGACACTTTACCGTCACAGTGAGCTATCTAACGTGTTCGGTCTATGCAGCTCCATCTTTCAGGGCACGTCGGATAGTGTAACGGTAGAACTTATTTTCCAAAATAAAGTAAGCTGTGCTGGGATTTATGTAAAGTGATTGATAGCTGCAAAATGTTTGGCCATATGATACAATATACGCTTAAACAAGGACTTGAAAAAAAAACAGTGTTTATTTAAAAATCTATATTACTCTTATCTAACTATCCACTTTGCTGATAGGCAACACAGTTGTTTCTTTGACAACTTATACCGTTTTCTTTACTGCAGAATAACAATTTGCAGTAGAGTCCGTGTACAGCATGGCATATTTACTCGATTATTAATTATTAGTAATATCAAATAACATAGTTTACATACTCAAAAGTTTTCTCTTAATATATTTATACTAACAATTTTAACATAATTTTTTATTGTAACAGATACTCTCCCTCTCTATTGTTACAAACTAATCGATTTTGTTTAGCTAAAAATTTTTTCTGGACGAAACATGATACGATATTATCAAATGTACAGTTTTATCTCGAGAGTACATATCTAGCAAGCCATGCTAGAATTTTCTTAACTCAGAATTCTAGAAATTAAATACAATAAATTCGAATTGTCAAGAAAACGTGATATAGCTTGCTAGACGATTAATCATCATGTCAATCAAGTCAAATCGGGTCGTATTTATAGTATAAGTGTATAAAAGAGAATATACATTTTCACATGACAGCTAAAAAGCAAACCTGCTGTCTCGACTAATGAAACAACGGCATGCACAAGACTGATCTCATGGAGATGAAGTGTTAGCGTCCTCGTGTTAAAGCAATGTTTCTGCTGGATTGCCTTAGTAATTGTAATGTACAAGAAGTTTACACAAAAATAGTAAACGGGAAATGCGTAGTGTCTTCGGAGTGGTCATGAAATGGTCGCGTGCTACAAACGTCTGATCCAAATTCCGTGTAATTTGTTTACTTACTTAATCTAAAATTGTAATGATTTTAAGTCCTTATCGGCTTAAAGGCGTTCCGCCAAAGTTAAACGAAGTGGGCACAGTCTGTGAGTGAAAGGCATAACCTGAAACATGAGAAATGTAGGCATCTTTGCAGATAAAAATATACATGTGATATTTTTGTAGGATATATTTGTGGATTTAAGTAGCCGACGAAAATTCTCTCGGAAACGGAACTTACCTCCGCTCTGTTCGATCCTTTTGCTTTCCAAAGCTGCTTTGCGTTGGTCCGCAAACAGGATAATTTCTTGTAAAGCTTTCTCTTGCTCAGGAGTGAGAAGACTTGTTAAAGCCCTGTACCAAGCGACATCAGTTTTCTCAATAGCTAGTTAAAAAAAAATAGAGATATTATATAGAATCAAACATAAATTAACATGTACATCTTAAGATTGTACAAGTTTATACAATATCATTGTTGTCGACACTTACATTGTATAACTTCCTTGAAAACAACATATTCATCTTGATTGGACTCGTCAGAATCTAGGGGTGTTACATAGCTCTCCAGAGCAGTCTCTTCGTTACCATCAAAGTCCGAATCGTCATCGTCGTCAACGTCAGATCTGTGATCACCGTGACCGTCTTGGATGGTCGCGTTAACGTTAAAACCATGCTGCGCGGACGATCTCTTTATCTTGTCTTGCAATTTTTCGAGATACTCCTGATTAACGTCATCCAACTCATCCTCATCAGATGACAAGACGTCTGAAAATTGTCAAATCGATCTTTTCGCGTTATGTATCGACGATCACACGCGAGACGTACTCACCTTCGTCGATATCGCTCTCTTCATCCTCATTTTCCTCATCGTCCCCATCTGAAACTTTAGCGGCATACGCTCTTTTAAGTCCGTCAAACAGGAGTATTAAAGACGGAATAATTTGCGTGGCGCATTCATTGACAGCAATCGGTCTTGCTGGACCCATTATGATTAACGTACACAATCCAAGAACGCATAATTTTCTATCGTGCAATCTGCGAAAAGAAATCAAATATTACTTCATATCATAGAGATATTTTCCTTTTTAATATTACTTTTATATTTTATACACAGTACTATCGTATATCATTTTATAGCAGTACTTTTATATCATACATATTATACAAACAGTACTATCTTATGATCCTCTTCTTTTTCTCTCTCGTTGAGACCATCTTCAAAAATATACCTTAAGCTATAAAGATACATACCCCAGGAAACAATCAGTGTCGTTTATCCATTGCTTAATAAAACGCGAAGCGAGCGGCTCCGTTGATTGAGCAAAATTTGCTTGCAATCTATCCATTGTTTCTAAACAAAGGGCAGGATTGTAATACAAAGCTGCTATCACGACTTGAAGACACATCGTCCTCAGTTCTGACGTTTTAACTTCGCGCATTAAACGTTCTAAGACTAATTGTACGAGCGATGGTATACACTGAAATAATAATATATTAATAAGTCATACAATTATAAAAAGTATATTTATTTATTCGTATTGTTTCATAGATAAACACATACGCTAATTCACATGGAACTTTCACGCATATTATTTATTCGAATGTAACATTTTACCTGATCTATGTGTCCTTTGCATTGCAATATTATAACCTCTAATAATTTGGCAGCGTGACATTCGGGATCTTCACCGGAATCACCAGTCAAGACCTGCATATGGAAAAATTCATTGACACCACAGTAAGATAACAATGTAAACCTCCAAACAAATACTTACAGCTTTGCACATATTAAACATAGCTAATATGTAATTTTCGTTCGACAAAAATGCTGGAGTGTCGACAGTGATATAGTTATGCAACGCGGGCATCATGTCAGTGAAATAATCAAAGCCATCTTTTTGAAAGAGTTGATACATGAGCTCGAGTATCTTCCACATGTCTAAGGATATCTTTTTACTAGTTAGGTCATACACCAATGAAAGAGCTTCTTCGTAAAATTCTAAATGAGAAGGAAAAATCAATCTCCCAATGTTATCGTTACAGGCAATTGTACGTTAACAAAGATTTGAATATGAAAGAAGCATACCCATTACACTTTGGCCGAAAATGTGTGCAACCACTTGAAGAACAATCGGTTCCAGCTGTCCCATTATTTGAGGTTGATCTTCCATTACTGTTAACAGTGTCTCTATTGTGTTCAAAAGACCCATTGCTGTTATCGCTTTCTCGTCGCTACCTTCGTCTGTCTCCAGCACTTGGCTAAACGTAGCAGCCTAAAAGGAAACGCATAGTATAATGGCTTGTCGCCTCATTCGTATTAGCCTATGTTGTTCGATTACAACAGACTTCTTACCAAATGTTGACAGATTTCTACGGCAATTGGCATAAGCTGTTCTGTATATGTACAGACAATTTTTTGCATAACACTAGTCAAATCATCGTTCTCAGTTTCTCGTATGATATTTAGCAACTCAAGCGTTATCTGTTTAATTAAAGGTTCGATATACTTCTGAGCTTTCGTTTGTGCCGAAAGCATCATCTGAAGTGCTATCGCCGCTTCAACTTTAACAGGTAAATCTTGATCCGTCAAGAGAGCGTTTGTAGTTAATCTGATTGCTTCTACTAAGATTTGTTCCTGCTTGAACTTAATCTCTGAGAAGTAATGCAGCACCCAACATGCCTGAAAAAGTAATCAACGATTGCCAATTGCGCCGAATGCACGTTTGTATTATGTAATAACAGTTTTATATGTATCGTTTTAATTACTCTCGCTCGCATATGGCCATGGGGACTGCTGAATTCGGGAAATACGTATTGCAATAACATTTTGTCCATTTGTTCCCTATAAACCTTCTTCTTCAGCAAGACATCAGCCAAACTGCCAACCTGAATAAGATACGATCTCATATATTACATTCATTATATTCGATACAAAATATATGGAGCGATCACAAGTGTACACCAATGTGCAGTCAAGATTTCCTTTTCTCATGCAGAAACTCACCATGTGCAACGCACCGTCCTTTTGTCTTGGGTCAGCGTTTGGACTAGTTAAAACTTCCAAACAAAATTGCATTGTTTTTTGCAGCATATCTTTCCGTTTTCTACACGCTGAGTGCAATAAAGTCTGCGCCGCTGTCACGGGTGACACAAAGTCTTCGAAGATATCTAGAAGCGATATAATAAACACACTATGTCTATGATACTGAGATCAACATGCCATTAATTCAACTGTACCAAATTTCACTCTGATGTACTCATAAGGGTCAGTATTCCACAGCTCTTCATCGGCCGCGGAGTACGAAAGGATCGGGAATATAACGTCGCGTATGATCTCAAACATGTGCGGCTTCAAAAACTTCCACGAATACGCGTGACTTACACTGTAATTCCGAAACGACAGATTAACTTTCCAGTGAGATGTGATCGTCCGATTGTTAGTCCGCGGACTCTCTTACCCTTGATTGATGTAATTGATAGACTGCTGTACTACTCTAGGAGAAACATAGATTTTCCTACGATACTGATCCAGTATCTTCAGAAGAACTTCTAAAATACCTGCGCTGAAAGTCTGTAAATACCATTCGGAAAATTCTTTGTATTCTTTGGTCACGCTCCCTGGACTACCATATCTGCAATTTTAATAGTTCAGTATTTGGATATCTCCTTCATTTATCTCCGAGTTCTCGGTTTAATTTTAAGTATGGATTTCATCACCTTTCAAACATCCTATGCAAAATGTGCAAGGCCCATTTTTTACATTTCCACCAAGGGAGTTCCGCACGTTCATCTTCATCCAAGTCTGGGTTGTTGGTCTCTGGTGGTACTGGTCTGTCAGCCACTTGTCTCACCACATCCATCCATTGTGAAAACACATCTCTTGAGATAAGATCGAGCGGAAGAGTATACTGCATCAAAGATACATATTAATGAGCCTCAAAAACCTCTTAATCTTATTTTTCTTTTGTAGTCGAACGGCCAATTTATGGTTTTCTCATACCTGCGTGAGTGCGAAAAAAATTTTCAATATCTGTTTCTGAAGTAGCACCGAACGCTCAGATGAATCTGATAATAAGGTTAACATCAGTTGGTATATCATAGGGAATAATAAGTTCATTGCTTCGTTCAATGGTCCTCTCTCTTCTGCCTTCTTGTACCTGAAAAGGCAGAACAGAAGTGTGGTAGATCGTTTCCCACGCGATAAAGCGTCGAGAAGAGTGCACGATCGAGTTTACTTACTCGAAATTTTTCACAAGCTGATGCAGCGCGAGGAGAACACCAGGCAAAGTCGCCATGTCTGTATTTTGAAGATATATTGTAATTTTGTCCACTATTGTCGTCCACCTCCCAGGAAAGTCGTGCTTAACCATATTACTGATGCATACAGCTAGTTGTACTCTAAACAAGTAGCAATTACAATTGACACGATATTTATAAGATATAGCCGATTTCTCCAATTTCTTAGTGAGCTAACTAACAGTTAAGTCATAACTAACAGTTAAGTCTCTTCGTTTTGCCTTCAAATTGGACAAAGGACAAACATATAATTTAATAGTTAATTAGTTTATCAAGGAGTTAAAAAAAGCCTGCAATTGTAACTTATGTATTTATTTATATATTAACTTGATATTCACAAGACAATTGGCCATAGTTATGCAAGAATGATAAACTTACAAAATTACAGTTTTTGAATCATCAATAGGTAGTCTATCTAATAATAGGTAATCTTTCTACATAAAACAAAAAAATCTAGGTCTTATGGGCATCTAACATTAATTAAAAAAGTTTTTATTTTTTAGTTGCTCTATTTTTTACTAGTTACATCTTTTCTACCAATTTTTTCTAAAAATTAAACTTGTCAATACTCTTAAAGAAAAGAAAATTGTATATGCTTGATTTCTTGAGCGATTACAAAGAACCCCAGTATCTATATTTTTTAAATCATGTATAAAATTTTCATTTTTCTTGAAACATACTTTGTGTATGCTTTTGGACAACTACAGAAAATTATATTATTTTTAATTATATAGCCAAATATATATTATTTTTAATTATTCTTGCACACAACTATAGCCATTTGTAACAATTATAAAATATACTCCACTAGAGACAACAGGTCAGAACACAACTTGCCTAATTAATTCTGGTGCAAGTACCACAGCATCCACTATTGCATCGCGTATCATTGCACGATCTTGTTCATGAATAAAAAATTCTACAGGTCCATTGTCCACGTCTCTGTCAGCCCAATTGGAAGTGATTAAATTTTTCAGATATATAACACCTACAGAAGCACAAAACAGAAATTTCTATTTAATCTGCATTTCATTCTTCAAAATTACAAGATATTGGGAAATCACAAACGGATATATTTACCAGCTTGCCGCACTGGCATATCAACATTGTTTGACATTACTGTCTGCAGGAGAATTGGAGCAAATCCAATGATCTTGTGAATCTGAAAGCATATGTACAGCACCATTACTATTTCATTAGAAGTATCACATTTATTACATTATCATTTATCATTGCCTGGTGTTACAACATCCTACACAGGGTCATGACAAATTAGAAAGCACATAAAATATATGCATAGCAGATAATACAGTGTGCACACGTACATACATATATGTATGTGTGCACATATACATACATACATATACATATGTATTTATACATATATATATATATATATATATATATATACATATATATACGCGCGAAATATGCAAAAATACCACGATAGTGATATATGGATGGAAAGATTGCAGGATTGCCCTTTGGAATATTAATTTCGCTCAATAACACGGTATATCGGCACGCGACGCTACGAATACGTTCCGCACGCGAGAACGCGTGCACGGCCACCGCGACCGGACGGCGTGTCCACCCGGGTCGAGCCATCTCCTCTTGACAGCATTCTCCGCATGCGAATGTCGCGCCCGAGAAGAGAGGTTAGCGAGCACAAATGACGAAGCGCCGCAACGTCACCTCCCCAAATTCACGGCAAATAATCGCCGTTCCCACGTAATATCATTCGCGATATCTTCAAGCATCCTACTGACGTGAGCGCACATTGTGACCAGAACGTCAAAGCGACCATGTCTCTCGAAACGAGGCCCGCTCGAGGAGGACGATGTTCACCGACGTAGCAGTCCCAACGGCCAGAACTTCTCCGAAGAGAAGCCACGATGTCCGGTATAAAGCGCGGCCACATGTTTCCTAAGATCTCGGTAAGCCGTCCTTCCCCCGCCCCCGAATCGAGCACGTTTCCTCTCGGTCGTTCGCTCGCTCGCTCGCTCGCTCGCTCGTTTGCTTGCATGCACGCACGCGGTTTTCGCCTGCATACCTGATTGAGCTGCTCCTCCGCCTGTTTCTGCTGCGCGGGGTCGATCGTTGCCCGTAACAACTCCGTGAGTTTTTGCGGATCCATCTCTGCGAATCAGCTCGGCTCGCCGTGGTAATTAGTACGCGTGAATTTTTCAACTGATTCACCTCGCGCGACGGACTTGACCCGGCGCATTCACCCTGCCTGCCTGCCTGTCCGCTGCTGGTGCTGCTGCTGCTGCCCGTGACGATCACGTGACACCACAACATCATGGCGTCACACGGGCAAAGCTCTAGATATATTACATCCGGTCGAACAATGTGTGGCGCTTTTTCGTTGAAAATCTATTTTACTTACATTTTGCAACATCCTTTTTGAGAAAAATTTTACTGAAGATACGTGATACATGTAACGTAAACTAGATTTTCAGTAAAATTTTCCTCAAAAAGACGGAGTTTTGAAATGCAACCTCTGGGTATCAGTCATGAATTTTTTCGCAACTCAATTTTACTTATCAGTTACGTAATTTTTCCTTAGTATAAAATCATAAAAAATAAATAATTTTTCAATACTTCGGGGCAATCAAATTCTTTTTCTCCAATGTAAATTTCGCGCAACAATGGTCGAGTTTTTTAATTCATTTATGGATCCATCGCATGATGCGCAAATGCAACGTTTCGCTGTATCCATCGGTGAATTAAAAAACTCGCCTAATGTTATATCGTTGAACTTGTCTTGGGGAGGGGAGATGAATACTTTTAAAAAATATATACTTCTTTGAAAAATAGACGTAATACTTAATTTTTTTAGCTTTTTAGTAGCAAACAAACACAGCAGTCGATAATTTTGTCGTTTGATTGCATTATTAAAATTCGTACACTTCTTATTTGGTTATACCTGGAGAACTTCTAGGGTGCGGTCCAGTAACCGCTACAAATGCTGCGCAGCGTCTCTCTTTCTTATTCTATTTCTAGGGTCGGTATTCATAGTCAAATCTTATATTTAAGACCGTCTTAAGTTTATCTTCAGATGATGAACGGATCATTTCATTGGCTACGGAGTATTTAAAGATGAACTTAAGCCAGCCTTAAAAATAAAATCCGACTATGAATACCAGCCTAGTATTCGAATGAAGAAAGAGAAAGAAGTAAAAACATTACAATGCATTTGTAGCGCTTACTGGACCGTACCATAGGTTTTAAAGAAACGTGTAAACGGTAAAGATATTAAAATTCCTGCATTGCCAACTTAACTATCTCTAAATTTAATGATAGTAATGAAAACATGTAGATTATACTACATTCAGTTTCAGTTTCAGTTTCAATAAATGGCTCTAGGCTTTATTAAGAATTTTGCCCCAACGCCATTACACTAAAGAGACGTCTACATTGGAAGTAAGCAGTAAGAAGTAGGAAGTAAGAATAAGAAATTGACCAATCATAGTTGATTATTCTTCTCACATTCGACTGTGGTTGGTCAATTTCTTACTCTTACTTCCTACTTCTTGCTATTTACTTCCAATGTAGACGTCCCTTAATAGCATGTTTGACTGCCTCTGGGTTAACACATTCTGGGTTATTCAGTCTACGTTTATTGGTCAAACAAGTACTTATAAACTTTATGATTGGCTAGTAGAGACTTATGACGTCATTAATCGCTCTTGGAACGATTAACCCAGGGCCAGTCGAACACGCTATAAGGTTATACTACATATATTATATTCTCAATATTGTCGATACATTCTTCGATTTTTTATTTATTTCACTCAGAAGTTATAACATTCGTAAGTATAGCGAAGATTAGTTAAAGTTGTTCCGTGTAAACGAGCATACATTTTCAGAAGTTATAACTACAGTTGTTGTTAAACCGGTTTTAAGCTGCCGTGTAAACAAAGTCATTGATGTTTTCTAAACATCGATTTTTTTTACCCATCCCTATAATATGGTCATGTGACCAGCTGATTGGCTGGTATAAACATGTACGGATTTGGACATTGCGACGCTAATGCAGAACAGATTGTTATTATATATATATATATATATATATATATATATATATATATATATATGATTTTGCATTGGCGTCGCAATGGCTTGGTTTACATCGTGCACTTGATACGCGTATTAAATAGTAACTTTCTATTAGATAATCTTAATATCGACGATATATATAAAGAACGGTATATTAAACTGGTATAATATTCATCAACAAAACGTATTGTATTGATTAAATGCGTCGCCGTTGATATGCATTAATGTAGCGGTTAAGTTGAACAACTTGTGATAACTTGTGACAACTTGTGACAATGGATTTTTCCGCTTATTCCGCGACTTTATTTCTCCTTAAGCCCGTATCAGACTATAGATTAGGATTGAGATTGAATTGAAATTTAGCCAATCAGAGCAAAATTTACTAAGCTCAAGTTTGGTGAACTTTGCTCTGATTGGCCAATTTTCAATTCAATCTCAACCTTAATCCATAATCTGATACGAGCTTTATATTACATGGAGCACAATTTGCACGAAAAAGCGGAATGGTTTGGTGACAAATAAACATCTGTATTCATTTTTTAAAATTGTATTAACTTAATTTGCAATTTTTACTAATATGTTTATCTTTTCAGCTTATCTGTTGAATACAAGCATTTTAATTAATAAATACCGTTAAAAATTAATATTTTATAATTTCCCATACCGCTTTTCCGCTCAAAATATGCCTCATGTAATATAAGGCAATCAAAACAGACGCGGAACGCGTAGCGGATCTATAAGATTTTGACTTCCGCGTTTCCGCGCTTCATGTAATGGCACTGTGACTGTAATGGTTCATGTAATAGTTCAGATCCTTTAATAAGAGATCGGACGGTTACACGACATTTTCCCGAAAACTAGGTGGGAAAATAGTGGTATCAACAAAAACCCCTAGGCAACAATTTTAATTTCCGCAGATTAATAATACTGTTGAAGTAGTAAGTCCATAAATTTTACGGAGTCGTTTTGACATATGCGTGTGTATGTGTCAAATAACAAACTGTCACTAATCCGTAGAAATTAAAATTGTGTTACTTAGCGATTTTTGTTGGTACCAACATTTTTCCATCTAATTTTCGGGAAAATGTCGTGTAACCGATCGGACACCGTCCAAGGATGCCACTTTTAGCTTACTTACAGCAAGCAGCAGCATGTGGAGGGGATACGCACCAAGTAAGCGACATTGTACGTGTACGCTCGATTCTTCGGCTGCCGAAGCTTGTTCGCTTGTGTGCGTATCCCCTCCACACGCTGCTACTTGCTGTAAGTTAAAATTGACATCTTTGACACTGTCGCTTGTAGATACTAGATTCGCCATGTTTGGGTCCAAACCGGAAGTATACTTATCTCACTTTAACTTAATACATCAGTTCAGCAGTGCAGCCAGTGCAGCTGAAAAGAACAGATTACTGCTTATGTTGCCATTTAGGGCTGCGTTCAGATTCCCTACCCAGGTGCACTCTAAGGGTGTATATCAGTTGGACACGGGGCAATTGGACACAGTCCAATCACAAGTCGCTGTTCCAAGGGACCCTACAAATGTCTCTAATCACACGGTGCTGTGATTGGCTGTATCCAAATGCACCGTGTCCAAGTGCACCACTCCCGCACTCTAATACTGGAAGTGTTATGGTATATATAAGTAACATATACTATAGTGTTTCTAGTAACAGAGTGCACCCGAGTAGGGAATCTGATCGCACCCCAGCGAATGATCCTACGGGTGCGTTCCCATTTAGCGCGTCACGCGTCGCGTCGTCCTTCGCGGACCAATCAAATTGTCCCATTTTATTTGTTGTAAAGTTAGGCAATAAAATGGGGCGATTTGATTGATCCGCGAAGGACGACGCACGCGTAATGCGCTAAGTGGAAACGCACCCTAAGGCTGAGTTTCCACTGAGCGCGTCACGCGTCGCGTCGTCTGCTGCGTCACGAGTTAACCAATCAAATCCTCTAATTGGGATGACGCGCGCACGACGCACAATGCACTTGTTCCAATGAAACGATTTGATTGGTTAATTCGTGACACAGGCAGCGACGCGACGCGTGACGCGCTCATTGGGAACTCAGTCTAACTCGGAACTAGCTTCTCTTTGGTTATACTACTTGAAAAGAAGCGGCACGATTGACTCATCGTTGAGTCGTGCTACGACCCGGCTGGCCCGTAGAAACGGCGGCGGAAGCATAGAAATCGGCCCAGGCCGTGCTGCCGCACAGTAATGCATCGACAAACTAAATAATCGACGTCAAAAGCTGTCAAATATGGCGAAGGCAGCGCGAGCGAGCGGTAATTGACATGTAAAAATGTGAATAGGCCTACCGCGCGACCGCAACGTCGATTTGCGCCTCGAAGAGAGGGAGCGAACGCACCTGCGACGACTGGCACGGTGTCACGCGCGCGAATCAACGGAACACGAACGACGACGACGACAGTGACGACGACGACGACGGGGGCGACGACGTCGACGACGACGATGACGATAATGATAATGATGATGTTGGGCTCGCCGGTGCCCGATCGCCGGAAGTGAGGAGTGCGCAAGGGTGGTCTGCGGACAGGCCTGGGTAACGCAACTCGCCGCCGGGCCGGAGACGGAACACACGAGGGCATGGTATAATCGTCGGACAGCCATGGGTGCACAGCAGACCAAGGACAGGGTGATCCCCGCCGGGTCGACCGTGCGGCAGACGCGCAAGCAGCCCAGGAACCTCAAGGAATCGCGCATCGTAGGCTCTAACATATTCACCGAGCACAGTGGTGAGAACAAACACTTTATCAGCTATCACTATCCTCTGTTCAACAATCAGTTCCACTGTCGTGTTGTTGCACCCTGCAGTCGTGCAGAATTTAGGAGAAGTTTATAGGTCTGTTTTTTTAGCTTAAATAGGCTGTACTTTTTTCTTTTGGACAAGTATGTAATAAGGAATTGAAGGAAAAAGGAACGAAGTTCTGGTGCAGTCTTAAAAGTTCAGCTAAAAAGAACAGTGTTTTGCGCTTCCTTTTAGATATATTGCACTGTACTCTAATGAGACTGATGAAATGACTTGGGAGCTCAAAGTGGAGTGAGCAAGTTTGAGATGACTGTGCTTCTCACTTGATATATGATGATATTAAAGTGTTAGAATAACACTGTATCGATAAGGAAAAGATAGCATTTGAGCAAGATTTATTTTCAGTTTCCCTAGAGTTTATAGTGTATAATATTAAATTTAAAGTTATGTTTATGTTGATGTTAATTACACTAATATAGATATTAGTGGTTAGATAAGGATTATGTAATTATATGAGTTTTTGAGTAATTTATGTTTTTGTGTCACAAGAAAAGGCTTGTGTTTCTTCCACATATTATGCTTAAGGAAAGTTTCTTGCATTCTTAGTCTGAGAATTGATAATTTCTTTTAAGAATATTAGGTTAATTGCTATTATGAAGTACATGAAACAATTTAGACACAACTATACGATTCTTATATGCTGAATATGATTAAACAAGCATATAATTGTTTTTTGACAAAATATAAATGTCAGTGTCAGAGTTTCATTTTAATGTTTATTGAGAACTTTAAAGAAGATTGTGTTTTGCACTTTCTTTTGCAGAGGCACTCTTGCAAAGTAGACCGCTACCACACATTCCAGCATTGCCTGAAGGTGATCCTCCAAGTGGCTCTAGTGTTCAATCAATTTCACAGCAAGCGAATGTTCAACAACATACTAGTGTGTCTGCTACTGGACTTCTTGAAGCAGCAAATAGGTGAGTTCAGTCATGCTTACATAATTACTATTTCACATACTCTAGTAACTTCAGTAAAGACTTCATATAAATGTAGTTCTTAAAATACAGCATTAAAGATGACATATAGTTATTTAGATTATACCTTTTTTTGCTTCATTTTATGACTCATTATATTTATAATTTGTAAATATTTTTTATGTCATTGTAATAAAACAGATAGTAGAATATTTAATGTAATAATTATATATTTATTAATATTAATTATAAATTGTACTCTTTGATTCTAAACTTGTTTCTAGAAATAATATTTTATTATTTTCGCACAGATGGACTAGCAAAGAAAATCTACTGGCCCAGGAGGAAGATGACCCTCAATTATTTGTTGCCTTGTATGATTTTCAAGCTGGTGGGGAGAATCAACTGAGTCTGAAGAAAGGTATTAATTTATTTTCTGTAAAATTAATAGATATTATCTATGCTGATATGTTTCAATATTACTCAAGAGTAATGAGATTGCTTAGATATCAATATAATATAATTTCATAGTTTGCACTGTTTTTCTATTTAATTTCAAATAAATGTAATAAATGTAAATATATTTACAAAATGAAAGTACAAATGTTATTTCATGGAAAGAACCAGATATCAAAATTAAAAAAAAATTTACTTAGTTATAAAATTCATTTTTGTTTTTATACACAATATTTAATATCTTAACCCTGCAGTCGTGCAGAATTTGGGAGAAGTTTGTAGGTCTGTTCTTTTTAGCTGAAATAGACTGTACTTTTTGTCTTTAAACAAATATGTAATAAGGAATTGAAGGAAAGAGGAACAAAGTTCCGGTGTAATCTTAGTTCAGCTAAAAAGAACAGTGTTTTGTGCTTCCTCTTGGATATATTGCACTATACTCTAATGAGACTGATGAAATGATTCGGGAAGGTAGAGCGGGCAAGTTTGAGATGACTGCACAATATTTAATGCATTAACATTTGTATTTTCCCTTTGTAAAAATATTTGCAATACTATGCAATCAAATAGAAGAACAATGCAAACTACAAAACTGCATTATGTCGGTATCCAGCATTCCCTTAATATCTCTATACAGGCGAGCAAGTACGTATCCTAAGCTACAATAAAAGCGGCGAATGGTGCGAGGCCCACTCGAGCACTGGACAGGTGGGATGGGTACCGTCGAATTACGTGACTCCCGTGAACTCCCTAGAGAAACACTCTTGGTATCACGGGAGAATATCTAGGAACGCTGCCGAGTATCTTCTGAGTTCGGGGATAAACGGCAGTTTTCTCGTGCGGGAGTCGGAGAGCAGTCCTGGTCAGCGCAGCATCTCGCTAAGATACGAGGGTCGCGTATATCACTACAGGATCAATGAGGACAGCGAGGGCAAGATGTTTGTAACGACGGAGAGCAAGTTCAACACGCTGGCTGAACTGGTGCATCACCATTCAATGCTTGCCGACGGCCTTATCACGCAACTATTGTACCCCGCGCCAAAGCACAATAAGCCTACCGTCTTCCCATTGAGTCCCGAACCGGACGAATGGGAAATCAATAGAACAGACATAGTAATGAGGCATAAGTTAGGAGGCGGACAATATGGCGATGTGTACGAAGCGGTCTGGAAGAGATACAACATGACCGTGGCGGTTAAAACGCTTAAGGAGGACACGATGGCTCTGAAGGATTTCCTGGAAGAAGCGGCTATAATGAAGGAGATGAAACATAGAAACCTAGTGCAATTGCTGGGAGTGTGTACGCGCGAGCCGCCGTTCTATATTATCACGGAGTTTATGAGCAAGGGTAACTTGTTGGATTATTTGCGAAACGAGAGTAAACACCAAATCAACGCCGTGGTGCTGATGCATATGGCTACGCAGATTGCGAGCGGCATGAATTACTTAGAGAGTAGGAACTTTATTCATCGCGACTTGGCCGCCAGGAACTGCCTAGTTGGCGAAAATCATCTCGTCAAGGTCGCGGATTTCGGTCTAGCTCGTCTCATGAGAGACGACACGTATACAGCTCATGCTGGTGCAAAATTCCCCATCAAATGGACCGCGCCAGAGGGTTTAGCGTACAATAAATTTTCTACAAAGGTATGACAACATTATAGACAAACTAGGATTGTTATGGTGCACGGAGTTTTATGAGCACTAATTGGTGATCTTTGTAGTCTGATGTTTGGGCATTTGGTATTCTATTATGGGAAATCGCTACCTACGGCATGTCTCCGTATCCCGGTGTCGACCTGACTGACGTTTATCACATGCTAGAGAAGGGCTATCGAATGGATTGCCCTCCCGGTTGCCCGCCAAAGGTCTACGAACTAATGCGTCAGTGCTGGCAATGGTCAGCGGCGGATCGGCCAACTTTCAAGGAAATACATCATTCGTTAGAAAATATGTTTCAAGAATCGAGTATCACCGAAGGTAAGTCGAATTTCCAATCTAGACTACTGCTCATTTTCCATAATAAGTCGCGATTTTATTGTTCCCGGCTTACTTATTACAGAAGTAGAGAAGCAGCTCCAAGGTGGGGGAGAGATGCCATTACTTTCATATAAGAAATCACAGACTGGAAGCACAGGAAATATACACGGTCTTGTTCTTGTGTCCGAGCAATTGTCTTCTTCTGGCATAACGCAAGGTAATATATCATGTCACCACTTTAGTATTTTATATCGACAATTGATAATTTTTGCATAAATATACAACTGCACAATTTTATTATCTATCTTCTATACACAATATCTTACAATACACAAATAATTTATATAATAGAGTTATATTTTCTAACGAACGAAACATACTTCAGAAGGAGCCAGTTCGGTAACCAAATTGAGCACGTTCATGGGTGGTTTATCAAGTAGGAGTAACAGCAATATGGTCCAAATGCGAAGATCCACCAACAAGAAGGGAAAACAAGCGCCGGCACCTCCTAAACGAACAAGGTACGCTATTTTTTATCTCGAACAATGTTCGTTACTTGAAAGTACATAATAAAGACCTGCGTGTTCTCTGTGACAGTCTGCTGTCGTCGTGCAGTTCTTTCCGAGATTCCGCCTACCAAGAGCAAGACCAGCAAAATGTTGAAGTGAGCACTATGACGCTTGACGATGGCACAGATCTAAATGGTATTGATAAGATTTTTGAAGGTATTCCACTATATCAACTAAGTGTAATGAGACGAATGCACGAATGCCGCTTTCGTTAATTTCTTTCGTTATCCTTTGCGTTGACTTCAGTTTTATTTGGATATGCATCGCCTACTACAGTGATTTTTACGGCTTCATGAATGTGGGTCATTCTCCTCGAGTCAGTATGTATACGTGAATGTTAAATACACGTCAAACACTTGATAATTTTTCTAATATATATATATATATATATATATATATATATATATATATATATATATATACATATAGAAAGAAAGAGAAAGAGAGTATACCCGAATATGTATTTTATTAATACATACTCGATCGTCTGCATCTCGTACGTACAGTACATCGTAGCTGCAGTCTTTTATTTACTTCCACGCGAGTAAGGGACGGTACTTCGTATATGTTATCTATCATAGTTCACGTAATAAATTTAAAAAGGAAGAGATAGAAATATTCCGTGCGTGCTCATGCATGATATTCCTTTCTGCAAAAAGTACGAGTAGAACTTGCGTTTTCATTTACGTTTTAGATCTTTCTGGATATGTATCTTATCATTTCCATTTTTTTTTCGTCCAAGTATTCTGAAGATTGGAACATCGCCTGTATTACCGGCATTACTTAGTTACGTTTCTATCGATTCTGTCGTCATGTAAAACTTGACTGTGTTCAAGCAGTGTTACGTGAGTTTACTAAAGCTTTATTTCACACACATATGCACACAGACACACACAACATACGCACGCACACACATCGCAACAATATCATTCAGAGAAGTCAATACACGACATACATATACTACGGTTTGCACGTTTTTTTCCAAATACATACACAAGTTTGCCATTTTTCATCGATCATTCATTGTTGGCGCATCACGCTACTCGTGACACGTTTTTTCCCGGCAACAGAGCATCGCGTTGAAGTACATAGATTCGCGACTATCTCTTCGTGTCTTTTAAAGGAGAATGACCCTGGGATGAATGAAGTGAAGTGTGAGGAAAGGACGGCAGAGATTTGAGGTTGATAGGCACCGCAAAACACCCTTTTTTAGCTTTCCTCCCAAAATTTCGATCTTTAACACGTTGCGCTTACATGCTGGAGAGATATGTTAGCTAATAGATTGTATACAGTACACCTTATTAAATGGCGACCTCAGGTATCACACGTGATCTCGTGACAATGGCTACACAGTCAATTACTACAGGAGGTTGCGATATGGACGACGACGGAGATGGGTCGCAAGGGACAGCCGAACATAACTTTATTCCTCCACCGTCAACCTCGCCGGAACCTGTATCCAACTTACCGTGCAATCAGAAACAAATAAAATCTCGACCTTACACGTCTAAGGAGGTACTGCCTCAGAAGGTACAATGATCTTACTCGTTGAGCGGCCACGATTTCCGAGATGTATACTTATAGACACATATAAACATACCTTTTTACTCGCGTGCGGTACGACGCACGCCGTGCGTAACGATTAGCGTTTCTTGATCTTGAGAATCTAGCCCAGAAGTAAAGTCCGTTTCGATATGGTAAATGCATTTAGCACTGCTTGAATAACTTAGGAATGCGCGGATAAGTCGCGACAAGGGGCCGGACTCGCGATCACTCACGGAGAAATTGTGTTGCAGCTGGTACATGTGGGTGCACTGGAGGTGCAAAATGTTAAGCGAGCGATCAACCGTTACGGCACGCTGCCGAAAGGCGCCCGGATCGGAGCGTACTTGGAATCTCTGCGGCAGAGCGGCATGCCGTCGAATCAGGAGAACGTTGTTCCGGTCGCGGCCACTTTATCGTCCGCCATGGAACAGCAGCAGGAGAACGCGGGCGCCGTCGACACCGCGCCGCAGCATCGCTCGCTGTCGCCCCGCCAGAACAACCTACGTAGCCAGCCCCAGATGACGCGCAGCAATTCTTCGAGCGGCGTGGTGAACACCTATCAGCCGCCAAACTCGCCGCGCAGCCGCGCCGTGGCCGTCCGCAAGAACAACGTGGACGGCGGCATCGGTCTGCGGACGTTTCGTGCGCCCAACAACTCCAGCTTCCGCACCGCCAGCCCATCCAGATCGATCCAGCCGACCCTGGCCGACCTGGAGTTTCCGCCTCCGCCGGTGGACCTACCGCCGCCTCCAGACGAGGCCTTCAGCGATCAATGCGACTTGCCGCCGCCAGCGACGGCGTCGCCGTGCACGGAGACTTCTCATAAGACAGCGGCCAGCTCACCGGTCGGTATCAGAAAATTGAAGGCGGAATGGAGGAGCAAAGACGAGGTGAGTGACGATCAGGAGGATAGGAATAGCGACGTGAGAAACTCGGAGCCGTCGGTGAAAGAGGCTAGCTCACGATTCGGCGTGAATTTGCGGCGTCGGGACATCTCCAGCGACGCGCACTGCGGCGTCGGCAAGTCCGCGGACGAGAAGAAGATAGTGTACAAGCCCAAGGAGATCAGCGCCGTCATCACGAAGATAGATCCGCCGGAGTTGCCCCCGCCTGTTGCCGCGCCTGAAGAAGCACCCCCGCCACCTCCGCCGCCGCCGCCACCCCTCGGTTCTGGCAATGCCAGCGACACATTCGAATCGAAACCCGGTATGAAGGAGATGCTGGAGCTCAAGTTAATCAACGAGATTAAGCAAAGCGCAGACATGAAGCATGGCGCTGGTACTACGAAGAAAGCCGGCGCCGCCAACAGTGCACCTTCGTCCGCAGCGCCTCTCGACCCGGCGTCGCAGTTGCTGTCTGAGCTGTGTGCCAGCTTCAGCATGGACTCCGCCAAGCAGCAACACGTCGCCGCGAGCGAGTACGCGATCACGACGTTGAAAAGTACCGGCGACATGATGTCCGGCGGCGTTCAAGAACACCACACAACCACACAGACCACGCTCGACAGGAACACCAGTCTCAAGGAAATCATCCCATTGACCTCACCTATCACGGAAGGTATTCTAAGTGCCACTAACGTAGGCTTCAAACTGAAGAAAGTAGACAAGAGAAGTAATGTGCAGAAAGAGGAGAACTCGGACACCCAGCAAATCATAGACTTCAAGGCTCGCCTGCGGAAGGTGGACAATGCTGACAAGGATCGAGCCGCGGACGAGAAGAGCAAGCGCTTCGACGACGCGGCGAGTACTATCGCGGACTCGACCGAATCGTCCGGCGTGGACGACCCGAACGACGATAAGCGCCGCAGCACCGGCAGTATTAGTAGCCTAAAGAAATTGTGGGAGAACAAAGAGGCTTCTTGTGATAATCAACCGCTTAGTCCTAAATTAAACGTGCGCGGACCCGGCAAGCAGGACGTCGGCGACGCCAGCGAGGATTCACCGGAGGATCACAGCGGCGCGTCAACCAGGAGTTCCACTAGCAAGGATGATCCGCGGATTTGGCCGCCGCCGATGTCCTCGGTGACCACGTCTGATGTGGAGAAGCCGATCGTCCCGGCAAAGCCGTTGAAGCCTCTCGGGCCTTCCAGCAAGCACTTTGGTTCCTCAATATACGCCACACCCAATTGCAACAAGCCGCCATTGTCGCAAAGTGACGAAGATAGCGGCAGCAAGCAAGCAGGCGGTGGCGGCAGCAGTGGCAACGAGTCCGCGAAGGGAGTAAAGCACAGCGTGATCGAGATCTCGAACGTCATAGAGAACAGCATCCTGAACTTGAAGGGCAGTCCTACCATCGTTATGGCTAGCTGGCTACAACTGTCCGACAAAGTAGGCCTGCTGCACGGCATGTGCGTCAATCTCACTGATACAGCGATTGCGCCCCATGCTAGGTTCCAATTTCGCGATCTGCTCACCAGGCTGGAGCTGCAGGCGAGACAGCTGCGGGCCGCCGGTACGCGCAACATCACCGAGAATACGAGACTGTTGAGTGACGTGCAAAACACGATAAAGGACGTGATAAACACGGTGCAGAGATAAAATAGCGAGCCGGCGGGTTGGAAAAATCAAAACGAGCGTTTCATCCTCCACTACCCTGCGCGACTTCTCCTGTCTGCCTGCCCTCTGCCTGGCCGAGAGGTGTTTCCCCGCTGGATCGCAGAATTCTCACTCTCTGTCTCTTCACTCGCCATCTCCTCCTTCATCCTCACATCTTTCTCACTATCTCTCGTCGGATCCCCATGGGCGTATAGTATACATAAAAATCTACGTTATAAATATCTATATCTAAGTCACTATATGATAAGGTCTGTCGAAGAGCGGAGCCCTGTTTTGGAATCTAGCAACTAATTTTTGAGCGAACATAGTAAGCGTGAGCTAGTGTGAATAAGAACTCGGATCGAGAGAAATGCGACTGCATGATCGTTAGGGTGGATTAATCCAAAGTTGCATGAGCCGAACGATCGCCGGTATGCTTCTCGACATGTAGAAATATACGGGCACACACACACCTTTCGACATACGGGACACACGCGCAATAACACACACACACACACATAAAATGCGTACATACAGCTCGAACGGGATCCTGTGCTGCAACTCAAAGTTCGTATACATTTACACTTTCACCTGTTTACAGCATTCGCGTTTTTTTTTTTTTTTTTTTGGAGAGATCACGGGCGTAACTCACGGGCGTAACTCACGGGCCTGGCAGAAACTCGGCCTTATTCAAGACGAAAAGTATACACCTTTGCATGATCGAACCATTTCTATGTCGAGACGTTTGACGATTTTCATATATGATAGTAAATATGTGTGATTATAATTACTGGATGGAATTAACCGATCACGCAAATACTCTTTCTCTCTCTTTCTCTCTCTCTCTCTCTTTCGGTAGTGCGGAAAAACGGAATACTCGGCACGAGGGAAACGTAAGAGTCGTCGCATACGCGCGCGCAGACTATCGACACGCTAAAAAAAATCAATATCTCGAATCGCTTATATGTACCGCGTAAAAAATCGTTTCGTTTTACATGTAATTTTATACACACACGTCGTGCTTAGTATATATATACATTATATATTATATATACACGAGATTTTTAGACTAGACTATATATATATAAATACGGACACGACTATAAGGAAATAAAAAAAAGAAACAAGCGTAAGAAGTCGTTTCATGTGTACTGTGGGACAATATAACGATTTTGTATTTGTATAGAGTAAGTTGGATAACAGTTATTACACTAATCGTACGCCTACGTATAAATTGTACCCGAACAAACAACAAACAAGCAAGTAAGCAAACAAAACGAGCAAACCGAATGTAATTAATCAAACTCTTCAGTGTCGTGTGTGCTTCGTTCTTATCCATGATGGTATAGAAATGTTCTTCCAAGAGCACAGAGTTAAGCAGAAATATTCGCCTGAAGACATCCATGAGAGAACGGAATAACAATTACGTTAATATAACTCACGGGAAGTGCATCTTAATCGATAGTCGTGTATAACGGGGGAGGGCGAGGGTGGAGAGGATGAGGCAAGTAGAACAGGTATAGCGACGGTATATCATGAATGAGTAATGATTATGCGACGTGTAGTATCCTGTCTGTACAGTATTCTCTACGTGCTATCCTATACGACGGAGATTTTAAGTATCAATGCATTTGTTCACGTTACTCGCACTTACTCTTATTCCGCATTGGCGTTCGCGTTCGCGTACATTTTTATACATCTTTTCTAGATTCCTTTTCTTGATTTTTGAGAAACGAGTAAGACTTATATATGAGTAAGATTATATTATCGAGTTAAATTTTGATTGTTTATATATACGTACATATATATATATATATATATATATATATAT